GGGGTGCTGAGCCTGGGGGTGCTGCGTCTGGAGCTGCTGAGCCTGGAGGTGTGGAGCCTGCGGCCACTGGACCTCCCCTTGTGGCGTCTGGCGGTGCTGGGCCTGGAGGTTCTCCGGGTGTTTCGTCTCGGCGGGAGCCACTCTCTCCACAGGAGCTGCGTGAGTGGTTTGCTTGCCGCTGGAGGCGTACTGCTGGAGCTGGCGCTTCTTCGACCGCTGAGGGTGCTGGTGCCGCCGGTCCCGGAGCTGCTCGGCATGCGGGTTCCGCCTGGAGCTGGAGCTGCTGAGGGTGTTGGTTCTGAGACTACTACTGTCCGTCCTGGAGGTGGTCGTGCTGCGGGTGCTGCTGGTGCTGCTGGAGGTCCTGTCGCTGGAGGTGCTGTTGGCGCTGGTGCTGCCGGAGGTGCTGAGGGTGCTGGTGCTGTCCGTGCTGTGTTTCGTGCCACCGCGCGGCCTCGGCTGTACTTCGTTCCGCTCCTTCAGCAGGTTCTTGGTCTTCCTCCTCTCTTAGAGGGTCCACCGCCTGTCCAGTCGCAGTCACAGTTACCGCCGGCCTCCCCACTGCCTTCTCCCTCTTCCTACACTGGTCCTACTGGGGGTCTTGCTGAGCGTCGTGAGCCTGCGTATCGTCCTGAGTCGCCTGTTCGTGCTGCTCGCACTAGTGGTCGTAGTTCGCGTCAGCGTCCTCCTCCTGTCCCTGGCACGCACCGGATGTCTGTGCGTCCGTCCACTGCTCTTCTGCGTGCCCCTTTGCCCTCTCCTCCTGAGTCCTCGCTTCCTGCTCTTGCCGACCCTGAGTCGGACTCTCTTCGTGCTGCCAGTCCTACTGTCACGCGTCTCCTTGCTACTGTCGTCACTGACCCCTCCTTTGAGTCCACTGCTGCGTCTGCTCTTGTTGCTGAGCTCGTCGACTTTGCTGCTCGCTGTCGTCTAGACTACGCTGCTAGTCTTGTTGCTGGGTCTGCGTCTGTCTGTCCTCCGTCCGTCGGGGGTGAGTGTGCTCTTGGCACGGACGTCCTTGAGGACAGGCAGGAGGAGTTTCAGTGTCTGGCTGCTGCTTCACCTCATCTCGCGTCTGTACTGCTTGCCCCTGAGGGAGACCCGGATGCACTAGACATCCCGACTCCGCGCTCTTACGCGGAGGCCGTCAGGGTCCCTACTCCTCTCAGTGGCAGGCAGCTATGGATGCAGAGATGGTTTCCTGGAAGTCCACAGGCACCTACGTTGACGAGGTTCCCCCTCGTGGGGCGAACATCGTCAGTGGCATGTGGATCTTCAGGGTGAAGCGGCCGCCGGGCTCTCCACCTGTCTTCAAGGCGCGGTACGTGGCTCGTGGCTTCAGTCAGCGGCAGGGAGTTGACTACTTTCAGACCTTCTCTCCCACCCCGAAGATGACCACTCTTCGGGTGCTGCTGCACATAGCCGCTCAGCGCGACTACGAGCTCCACTCTCTTGACTTCAGCACTGCTTTCTTGCAGGGTAGCCTGCACGAGGAGATCTGGCTGCGCCGTCCACCTGGCTTCACTGGGACTTTCCCTCCTGGCACCCAGTGGAGCCTCCGACGGCCAGTCTACGGTCTCCGCCAGGCACCGCGTGAGTGGCACGACACACTGAGGACTACGCTTGCGGCTCTTGGGTTTGCTCCCTCTACTGCTGACCCGTCGTTGTTTCTGCGCACCGACACTTCTCTGCCGCCGTTCTACATCCTCGTGTACGTCGACGACTTGGTCTTTGCCACAGCGGACACTGCTGGACTCGCCTACGTGAAGTCCGAGCTGCAGAAGAGACACACGTGCACAGACCTGGGTGAACTGCGCAGCTACCTTGGCTTGCAGATCACCCGAGACAGAGCACGCCGCACCATTACCTTGACTCAGTCACACATGGTGCAGCAGGTCCTTCAGCGCTTCGGCTTCACGTACTCCTCGCCTCAGGCCACTCCTCTGTCTACTCGCCACTCGCTCTCAGCTCTGCCTTCGGATGAGTCCGTAGAGTCGAGTGGCCCGTACCCAGAGCTTGTTGGCTGCCTCATGTACCTGATGACCTGCACTCGACCTGACCTTGCATACCCTCTTAGCATCTTGGCACGCTATGTTGCTCCTGGGAGACACCGACCAGAGCACATGGCTGCAGCGAAGAGGGTGTTACGCTACTTGTGCAGTACGTCGGGCATGTGGCTAGTGCTTGGAGGGCGGAGTCCAGTGGTCCTCACTGGGCACGCGGACGCTTCTTGGGCTGACGACCAGGCTACGCAGCGGTCGTCGCAGGGTTACACCTTCAGTCTTGGTTCCGGCTCTGTTTCGTGGCGGGCTACTCGCTCGCCTTCTGTTCTCGGCTCCAGTTGTGAGGCTGAGATCTACGCCGGGGCCATGGCTGCTCAGGAGCTTCGCTGGCTCACCTACCTGCTGACTGACCTTGGAGAGCCGCCTCGTTCTCCTCCAGTGCTGTACGTAGACAACAAGGCCATGCTGGCCTTGTGTCGAGAGCAGCGCCTGGAGCACAGAACGAAGCACATTGCTCTCCGCTACTTTCTTGCTCGTGAGCTGCAGCAGCGTGGTCAGTTGCGACTTGCGTACGTGGCCTCTGAGGCCAACACTGCTGATGTTTTCACCAAGGCACTTCCGCCTTGTGATCATCAGCGTTTCTTCACTCAGCTGGGACTTGTCCCTGTCTTGCCTCACTTGCTCACCTCCTGATCTTACTTGTACTCTTGCATATATATATATATATACCTGCTCTTGTTTGTTTAGACCTATATATATATATATATATATATATATATATATATATGTCTCCTCCTGCATGTGAACTGGCCTTGTGGCCTTGACCTTGTGCTCAGACTGTGTGGTGACGTTGTGATCCACCCTGAGCTTGCTTTGCTTTGCTTTGCTTGACTGGTCTTGTGACCCCTTGTTCTCCCCACTTTGCCTATGGGGGTGTGTCAGAACATTATAGCTTATAGCTTTTGTGTAGGCTATAGTGGAGTATCCCATAAGGGGTACAACCCAATTAGGGTTAGTACTTGTACCCACTTCACTCATAGTTCATTCACGTTCACTTCTTCACAATCAGTGTGCCTTGTAAACCCTGGCATATCAGGAAAATTCTAGCTCCCGAAAAAATTTACCCTAGGCCAGTCAATGTGACTACCAAAAACCACCCTGATAATCAGGGTATTCAGGGAGATTTACACTAATAAAATTTGCCCTGGTCAGGATCTGCTGGTTTTCAACGTGACACCTGTATGGTTACTGACGTCAGCCGTTCTGACATTGCGATCTTTGGCTGGGAAGAGTTGAAGGTTTGAAAATTTGAACCACTTGTTACCCTTATGTCTTTACAAAAACACGTGTCAGCCCTGATAGACCGAACTGTACCGCGTCCTGATTTATGAGATGCCTAGAAACTGACTTCAAATAGCCATATGTAGCCTTCGCCGCGCCGACAATAGCGAAGCAGTGAGCGACTTGATTGGTGGCAGTCCCAACGTCCAGCCAGGAACTCAGCGCGCGACATCCCTTGGTCCAAAACGTTTTACAGGTCAATTTCTACGTTACAGAAGTGTTAAATACGGTACCTAAGCCTCGGCCCAATCTCAACGTCAACTCCGTCAGAGCACCAGGAAACAATATGCAACGGTTTATCCAGAATCCACCCCCCCACTCCACCAAATGCTGCCGTACAGCGAAGCAAGTGAGCACCAGACCAAGAATTCACATTTTGCTCATCGAAAGCGGTTCAGTACAATACCATGCACTCTGAAGCGGTATTCTCACTCGGACTTCCATTTCTCACTACTCACCAGTCCGAGCTGAACTTTCAGACATGTAGCGGAATGAGCACCATTACCAAGAATGTTTCAGTTAGATCGCAATGATGCGGCTACCCTCATAACCGAGCTACTCACGGCATTGCGGAGTTAGTGTTCTCCTTCCATTGAATCTTCAATAGCTTCTAGCTTTCTCTGATTTTCCTTACAGTGGAACTAAAGATGAACGCGGCGGCGATGGCTTCATGGAATCGAGCCGCAGTGCTCGTGCCGCCGTTCGTTATAGGCGTCTTGACGGGCTTCACTTTGCTGATGCTGCAGCAGTCACTGTCACCACGCATTCCGATATCATTTGACAGGGTAGAAACAGCAACGGTTCAGAACGAACATACGCCGATCGCGCCGGTTCGCAGTGAATCTCTAACCTCGTTTGAGGAGATCGTACCGTTTCGTTACAACACGAGCGCTGTATTAGTGGACGGAAAGCTGAACGTACACTTGGTGGCTCACTCGCACGACGATCTCGGTTGGCTGAAAACCATTGATCAGTATTACGTGAGTACGGACTACGAAAAATGCCAGAGATTGAGAGATTGAAGAATCGGATCGAATTCTGCGTTACTCTCTGTCAGGAGTCCTCACTGCAGCTTGAACTCGTCCGCTGTCCTCGCTGCTACAGCATTGTTCCCCGAAAATGTTGGAAATAGATTTCAAATGGATCTTCAAGGCCTCCCAGCCGGGCTGCGCTTCCGTAGGGAATTCGATAAGGGGCTTCTGTGTTTGGCGGAACATCGGTCTTTGAAGTTCGGAGAGCCGCATATTAAGTTCGTGACGTGAAATCATGGGCGTGGTTTGTATGACGTGGGTCCGTGTAGTCAGTTCACGCTGACAAGCGGAGATGACGAAAGTCTGACAAATGCTAACCTTCATCCGCACCCTGTTTCTGTTTCGTCGTACATCACTGCAGGTCGACCCGGTACAGTACATCATTGAGACCGTCGTTGACCAGCTTTCAGACAATCCTGACCGTAGATTCATTCAAGTCGAGCAGGTGAGAGCATCGTCTGGACCTAGTAATAGGTTCAATGTGGCCTTACGTTTGCACGGTAGTACCAAGTGCTCCGGTACCTCTACTGCTAAATCCTAAGTGGAAGCATATTACAAGTCGCACCACTTATCTGTATTTCTGCAGGGTTTTTTCTATCGTTGGTGGGAACGCCAGCACGAACCAATGCGGGATAAAGTACGGAAGCTGGTGGCTTCTGGCCGATTGGAGTTCATGTGAGTCAGCCCATGCCTTGATGTAGACCGGGATTCACTGACAACATCGCATTCTGACATGTGACAGGAGGGATACGAATCTAGTAGCATCACCCATGCTTTTTCAAGTTTTCATTACCGTAGCATGCATGCATTCGCTGAATTCAAGTTTTCCCTCACCTCCAGAGCATGGCGTGTAGGTCATGCATGACAGGAGTACTGGGCATGCTGCACACCCCCATGGCGGGATGTTGAAGAACCCTCATTTGACATGTCATCCCCCCCTCCTCCCCCTCCTACAACCCCCACTCCCGTGTCTACCCTTCCCCCCACTTCCCCCTCCCTCCCCCTCCTTTCCTTCCCCTTCTTCTCTCATACACATATCTTCTATGTTTCTTCCATGTGCTATGCTGTGCAGCAACGGCGGGTGGGTGATGCATGACGAGGCGTGTGCACATTACACGGACATGGTGCATCAGATGGCCATGGGGCACCGCTTCCTCATGGCGACATTCAACGTCACCCCGCGCATCGCCTGGCAGATCGACCCCTTCGGCCACTCTGCTACTCAAGCCAGCCTCATCACTGCTCAGGTGCGGCCTGGGCAGGTGGTCCTTCCCCTCCTTCATTTCCCTTCCCCCCCACCTCCCCCCCACTTAGTCCCCCCCCACCCCTCCCCACATGCATGTCCACCAGGCGCAGTGTTCATGGGGAGGGTGGACCAGCAGGCAAAGGACGCTCACATGGCCGCCTGCGAATTCCAACCCCTGCCCCCTTTCCCATTCCCCATCCCTTCCTCTCCACGAAATCGCCACCACCCCTCTCTTCCCCCCTTCCCCTTTCCCCCACCCTTCTCCCACAAGCATCTCTCCACCAGACGGGGCTACAAGCGGTGTCCATGGGGAGGGAGGACCAACAGGAGAGGGAGACTCGGTTGACCATCCACTCCCACCCCCGACCCCCCATCCCTTTTCCTCCCACCCACCTCCCACACACGTGCCCACCAGGCGGGGTTGGAAGCCGTGTTCATGGGGAGGGTGGACCAGCAGGAAAAGGAGTCTCGTTTGGCCGCCAAAACAATGGAGTTTGTGTGGCGGGCAGACGGGGCGACGCAGAGAGAAAACCAGGTGTGTGCTAGGGTGTGCTGCTGCTGTATGGTAGGGTGTGCTATGGTGGATTCTATTGGAAAAGCAGACTCGTTTGGCCACCAAAACAATGGAATGGAGTTTGTGCGGCGTGCTGAAGGGGCGTCACAGAGAGACAACCAGTTGTGTGTGATATGTGAGGAGGCTGATTGAATGGTAGGGTGTGCTGCTGGGGATTGAATAGGAGAAGCAGGCTCACATGTCCGCCAGGACATCACAGTTCGTGTGCCAGACAGGCAGGCAGCTGTATTTCTCTAATACACGAACTGGGGCCACATGTGGTATTGTCTACGACAGACAATACGAAGGTTCGTTCGAGGCAACCAGGTGGGCCACATGTCATGCTGTTGAGATGTAGGGTGTGCTGTTGTGGAGCGAATATTGCGTGCGTTGTACGGGTGATGGTGAAGATAGGATCTGGTGGTGCTCGTGCATTGAGTGTGCTTCGGTTAGATTGGTCGTACCAAGGTCACCATCTTCTCTCCTCTTGTCAAATGCAATGCACCTGATCCGCTAGATTGCATGTAGCAAAGCGAGTTCTTATCCTCTTCTTACATTTTAATTCAAAACTAGCAGATAGCACTGTGAGTCAACTCTGCCAGCGGCAGATGAAGTCAAATTCGCGTCAAAGACTTTGGATGTCACGAGCACCATCGGATGTCATGCGCCCAGCAATCAAGGTGGCTTTTTTGACGTTCGCGAGCGCGGCGATCTCGATTTCAAAAAACCTTCATCGTCAACCTTGGAATGGTATTCGGTTACTACTTGCCCATACCAGGAAACAGACGATCCTACCAGCCATTCCCCTCGCCACCCCACTCTCTCCACCCCTCTCCAACCCTCTCCCAGGTGCTGGGAATGGTATCCTATGATGGTTACTACTCGCCCTCACAGTTCCGCTACCAGGACTCAGACGATCCTTCTTACCGCATTCAGGTACTCCCTCGCTCTCTCTGCTGCTCTGCACTCGCCCCTCTGCTGCAACGCACTTGCCCCTCTGCATGCAACGCACTTGCCCCTCTGCTGCAACGCACTTGCCCCTCTGCTGCAACGCACTTGCCCCTCTGCTGCAACGCACTTGCCCCTCTGCTGCTCTGCACTTGCCTCTCTGCTGCACAGCAAGCTTCATGTGTGCACCTCTCCTGTAGGCGCGTGATAAAGGAGTGTTTTTGAGACGTCTCACCATGCCTTCCACCATGCCTTCCACCATGCCTTCCACCATGCCTGTCAGCACCATGCCTTGCACCACTCAGTGTTTCGGCTGATCACTTGTGTGGATCCCTGGTCGTGTGCGCAGCTGAACCCCCTTACTCCTGACAACCCCATTTCACTCTGCAAGAGTAACTCCCCCTTTCCTGCCTTGTCGCACCACCACAGCTTCCCCACACCCTCTGCTCTTCCATTGCTCGATCTGCTCTACCATCGTCCCTCTGCCCTCGTCCACTGGTCAGGACAATCCCTATGGGGGGTCGCCCAACGTGCAGCGCCTGGTGGACGAGTTTGTAGCGGAAGTGACCAAGAGGGTGAGTGAGTGGCTCTTGGGCCTTCAAGTGGTTCTTGCCCAGTACATGTTTTTATAGTTGACATAAAAACGAACGTGCAGCGCCTCGCAGAAGAGTTTGTTGCAGAAGTAACACCGAGGGTGGGTGAGTGAGTGGCGCTTGGAGTGTGCTTTGAGACGTCTTGAAAATTTTGACACCGAGAGTGAGTGGTGTGGCGCTTGGACTGTGTTTCAAGCGCACTTGCACAGTAGATGTTCGTGTTAATCATGCTGAAGTGCTCATGGTTTGAAATATGGGCGACGTGACTGATTGAGCGCGCAATGTTAGTCGCCTAAGTTTTTTTCACGTTTCTTGGTACTTGCATGGGGCCTTCAAGTCTTCTAAGTTCCCTGGTGTGCGTGATTGGCCCTCCTCTGTACCATCCACAGCGTCTTTCCACCCGCCAACCCCTCTATCTCAAAACCCTTTCTTCCTCTCACTGCCTTAACCGTTGCTCTCCACGGTTCTCATCTCACTCACCCCCCAAGGGGCCCTCACGGGTTTAAGATATGCTGTTCCCTATGAGCAAGGACTTTGCGTTGAACCAGCCACCCTTCACCCATTGCATCCTCTGCACCTCACCGAGTGAGTGAGGCTCACTCTCTCCCACACACTCTCCCGAGGAAGCAGAGGGCTTCAAGGCGAATCACCTGCTGCTTCCCATGGGCGAGGACTTTACCTTGAACCAAGCCCTCACTCACTCACTCACCCACTCATTCACTCACTCACTCACTAACTCCCTTGCTGCTTCTTCTACACCTTACTCTCTCTCACACTAACTAACAGGCGGAGGGCTTTAAGACGAATCACCTGCTGTTCCCCATGGGCGAGGACTTTGCGTTTGACCGCGCCATCTTGTGGTTCAAGAACATGGACAAGCTCATTCACTACGTCAACCTGGTCGGTCGCTCGCTGGGTGGTTGGTGTGGTATGGCATGGCATGGCTTGACATGACACATCATGCGATGGGATGGGATGGGATTGCATGCTATCTCGTGGTTCAAGAACATGGACAAGCTCATTCATTATGTCAACCTGGTCAGTCGCTGTTGGGATCGCTGTGTGTTAGGCATGGCTTGGGATGGCATGGCGTGGCATGCCATCTCGTGGTTTAAGCTCATTCACCACGTCAACCTGGTCAGTTGCTCGCTGGGTGCGAAGTGGGCTGATGGATGCTGGATGATTGGGTTGGGTCGCTGCTGGTTGCTTGGCTTGGCATGGCATGGGGTGGGATGGCGTGACATGCCATGCCATCTCATAAGAAACCAATTTTTTGCACCTTGGGATGAGATTTTACTCATTTTAACTCTGTACCTGTGTTACAGGACGGGAGGGTGAACGCGCTCTATTCCACGCCATCCATGTATCTGGACGCACTCCACTCTGCCAATGCCACGTGGCCTCTCAAGACTGGTGACATGTTCCCGTGAGTCAGCAGGCAGGCAACGGTTTGGTTACCCCTGCAACTAGCCATCCCCACCCACCCGCACCCATCCGCGCCCACACGCACTCACCACACTGCATTCATCTATATATGTTCTTAAAAAGAATATACATCTCTCTCACCCATCATGCCCCCCTATCGCTCACCCATTCCCCTTCCCCTTCTCCCTCCCAATCTCTGCTTTTCCATGCCCAAGAGTCTCTCACCCCAGCCATGGGGAGGACGGCTCAGCACGCCCCACCGGGCGGCACAGCACACCCCGCTGGGCGGCACAGCACACCCCGCTGGGCGGCATAGCACGGCACAGCACACCCCGCTGGGCGGCATAGCACACCCCGCTGGGCGGCACAGCACGCCCCACTGGGCGGCACAGCACGCCCCACTAGGCGGCACAGCACGCTCCACTGGCCGCCACAGCACGCTCCACTGGACGGCACATCACGCCCACTGGACAGGCTGGGCCATGGCACAAGGGAACCTATTCTCTGCATAGAGTTCTCACATACCCTCCCCCCAGTCTCCCCCCTTCCCGCTCCCCTCCCCCCTTGCCTCACCCCTCACCCCATGCATGTGCCCCTCGCCCCAGCTATCAGGACGATGGGCCCTACTGTTCGGGCTACTTCAGAGGAGAAACCATTGTCCGCATATGTTCTCGCGTTCCCCCCTCGTCCCCATTCCCCTCCCTCCCTTCCGCCCACCCTCTCCCTCCCCTCCGCCCATGCGCCCCTCGCCCCAGCTACCAGGACGACGGGCCCTACTGGTCCGGCTACTTCACATGAGGACCCTTCTCCGCATATTTTCCCCCGTCCCCCAACCCCTCCCTCTTCTCCGTCCATGCGCTCCTCGCCCCAGCTACCAGGACGACGGGCCCTACTGGTCCGGCTACTTCAGCAGCCGCCCCTCTCTGAAGCTCCTCGCGCGCTCCTGCAGCGCCCTGCTGCTGGTGCGCTGCCCTCTCAACCTGCTCATTTGATGTGGTGTGGTGTGGTGGGATGGGATGGGATGGGCTGGGATGGGCTGGGGTGGGATGGGATGGGATGGGATGGGATGGGATGGGATGGGATGGGATGGGATGGGATGGGATGGGATGGGATGGGATGGGATGGGATGGGATGGGATGGGATGGGATGGGTTGGGTTGGGATGGGATGGGATGGGATGGGATGGGATGGGATGGGATGGGATGGGATGGGATGGGATGGGGTGGGGTGGGGTGGGGTGGGGTGGGGTGGGGTGGGGTGGGGTGGGATGGGATGGGATGGGATGGGATGGGATGGGATGGGATGGGATGGGATGGGATGGGATGGGATGGGATGGGATGGGATGGGATGGGATGGGATGGGTGGGATGGGATGGGATGGGATGGGATGTCACATTGGGTCTTACTCCCTGAAGCTCCTTGCGCGCTCCTGCAGCGCCCTGCTGCTGGTGCGCTGCCCTCTCAACCTGCTCATTTGATGTGGTGTGGTGTGGTGTGGTGTGGTGGGATGGGATGGGATGGGCTGGGATGGGCTGGGGTGGGATGGGATGGGATGGGATGGGATGGGATGGGATGGGATGGGATGGGATGGGATGGGATGGGATGGGATGGGATGGGTTGGGATGGGATGGGATGGGATGGGATGGGATGGGATGGGATGGGATGGGATGGGATGGGATGGGATGGGATGGGATGGGATGGGATGGGATGGGATGGGATGGGATGGGGTGGGGTGGTGGGGTGGGGTGGGGTGGGGTGGGGTGGGGTGGGGTGGGATGGGATGGGATGGGATGGGATGGGATGGGATGGGATGGGATGGGATGGGATGGGATGGTATGGGATGGGATGGGATGGGATGGGATGGGCTGGGATGGGCTGGGGGTGGGATGGGATGGGATGGGATGGGATGGGATGGGATGGGATGGGATGGGATGGGATGGGATGGGATGGGATGGGATGGGATGGGATGGGATTGGGTGGGATGGGATGGGATGGGATGGGCTGCGATGGGATGTCACATTGGGTCTTACTCCCTGAAGCTCCTCGTGCGCTCCTGCAGCTCGCTGCTGCTAGCGCGCTGCTTATTTCAGCTGCCTGTTTCTGTGTGATGCTATGGGATGGGATGGGATGTTGTATGGTATGATGCGATATGCTGTGTTGTGATGTGATTATGATGTGACGCGAGAAGAGAATTTCACCTATTAATTATTTCCCTCCCTACAGTCACATCATCCAGACCTGCCGCACCCTCCCATCTTTCACTCTGGCCTGTTGTTTCAACCATTTGAGTCAACTCAACAGTCACATCAATCACGTTTTCCTCACTCACCCATGTTTCACGCTACCCGTCGGTCGATGCTGCTCGCCTGGCCTACATGCAGGGGACTGGTTGGTTGGTTGGCGTCAGTGCTGGAAGCTACGGATGCCTGAACCCACCTGGCTCACGTCACTTGGCGCGCCCTTGAAAAGCACACTTGCCATTGCTTCCTTTCTACAAGGACAAGAAGTGGGCTGAAGCTGTCTTGCTTACCCCAACAGCATCACATGTGTGCCTGTCCTGCTCTCTCGTCCTTCAGGCCACCACAGCAGCAGAGGCAGCAGTGGGGAAGGAAGCGCTACAGGCATGGGGCATGGCGACGGGGCGCATGATGGTACTGGAGCACCTTGTGCTCGACACACACATGGGCAAGACGACCAGAGACAGCCAGAAGGAGGAGAAGCAGGCGGATGGGGGGGAGAGTGCGGGAGGGGTGGAGCGGATGAGGGTGGGGTGGGGAGAGCGAGCGGCGGGTGCGAGTGGCGAGCTCGTTCCGGTTGGAGGAGGCGGTGGCAGTGGTGCAGCACCATGATGGCATCACAGGCACGGCGCAGCAGCATGTTACCGATGACTACTCTGACAGGCTGCACCGCGCTTCTGAGGAGGTGAGGGTTGCACAGATAGAGGTTGATCCCTTCAGTGCACGGGTAGAGACTGCTCCTGTGAGTGTATGGCATGGGCTAGAGGAGGCGGTGGCAGTGGTGCAGCACATGATGGGATCACAGGCACGGCGCAGCAGCATGTTACCGATGACTACTCTGCTCTGCTGCACCGCATTGCTGAGGAGGTGAGGGATGAGTGCATGGGTAGAGGTTAGTCCCCTCAGTGCAAGGCGAATGGACTGGAGGAGGCGGTGGCAGTGGTGCAGCTCCATGATGGCATCACGGGCGCGGCCCAGCAGCACGTTACTGATGATTACTCTTCCAGCCGCGCTTCAGAGGAGGTGAGTGCGTGCCTGATGACTGGCTTGCTACAGCTAGGGCTGGTTGGGGTTAGGGTTGAGCTCGTTCCGGCTGTAGGCGGCGGTGGCAGTGGGGCAGCACCACGACGGCATTACAGGCACGGCACAGCGGTACGTTACTGATGATTACTCTGCCAGACTTCACCGCGCTGCGCTGGAGGTGAGCTGTGGCGTGGATGGCGACGGATGGTATTAGGTGCTGCGTGCATGTGTGAGCTCCTATGCGTGCATGTGTGAGCTCCTATGCGTGCAACACCGCATCACAGGCACAGCACAGCAGCATGTTACTGACGACTGCTCTGAACGGCTGTATTGCACTGCACTGCCGAGGTTGGGTGCTGCGTACATACACGTATGGGTTGGTTTGGTTTGGGTTGGGTTGGGTTGGGTGCGACATGCATGGTATTACCATAGACTGCTCCTTTAAATGGGTTCAGGCTGGTGCTAGCCTCCCAACCTCACGGGCCCCCCATTCCCCATACCACCCACCGCCGACCGCCGACCCAGGCATCCACCAGCTGTGCTCACAGCAGCCCTCATGCACCTCATCACGCGAGGCACCCCCCACCCCTCCCCAGACACTCCACTCCACACACCTAGGTGACTTTTGAGTCGACTCAAAAGTCACCTCACTCCACACACCTCACCTCGCCATCCCCATCTTCCCCACCCATACAGGAATCAGCCGTGCTGACACCTCATCATGCGAGGCACCATCCCCCCTCTCCAGGCACTCCACACACCCCACCATCCCCATCCGTACCCTACCCCCTCCTGCCAACTTCCCCTCCCATCTCCCAACCTCCCATGCCCCACCCTACCAACCGCCCATGCAGGCATCAGCCGTGCTGACAGCAGCACTGGCGCACCTCATCACGCGAGGGACCCTCCCCCCATCCCCATCCGTACCTCCATCCAACCTCTCCTCCAACCTGTCCTCGCGGGCAGCAGCAGCCGTGGAGTTCACATTTAGGGAGGACAGTGTCGAGCAGCGCGGGTGGGGGTTCTGGAACCAGTTAGCAGATGGGAGCGGAGGAGGAGGACGAGGAGGATGAGGAAGATGAGGGGGACGAAGAGGGTAAGGCACGCAACAAAATCGACAGGATGAATGAGTTATTGTATGAGGCGGATAGAGCAGGTGCGGCGGATGACGAAGATGAGGGGGATGAGGAGGCGGGCGAGGGAGATGGTGGGAAGCATGCTGCAAGGTCCCGTGCAAAGAAGAAAGTCCCTCACGTGACGGAGGAGGCAATATTTGAGTCGACTCAGAAAAATTCCGGTGTGGAAAAGAGGGTTCCTGACAAGGAGGAGGAGGAGGAGGAGGAGAGACAAGCGACCCCAATGAGGTGTTTGACCCTCAGTCGTTGCAGCCAGCTGACCCTCAAGCGGTCCAGAATGGTGCTGCTGGCCGTGCTGCTGACGGCACACGGGCTGAGGAGAGGAGGGTGCAGGAGGTGGAGGAGGGGCAAGTGAGCAGGGGGCGGAGAAGGAGGGGGGTGACGCTGGGCGACGGTGCCAAAGCAGAGCAGGGGGGACAGCAGCTTCCTTCACTGAACCTGAAAATGGTGTGTGATGGTGTTGATGGTGGCGGTGTGATGTGGTGGTGGTTTGATGGTGGTGTGATTGTGGTGTGATGGATGGTGGTGTGAGTTGATGGTGGTGTGATGTTGATGATTGTAGAAGTGCGAAACAGGAGCTGGTCAACGAGGTGACTGATTCCCTGGATGTTTCTTTTTGCTACGCCACGATGGTCAAAGGGGCGATTGGTTGGATTCAATGAAATTGACAGGTTTTGAGACGTCTCAAAACTAGACGTTGTAAAACCAAAGGGGCGATTGGATTGGATCAGATCAGGTTGACAGACTGTACCAACCAGACCAGCTGCTCTTTCAACTGCTCCCACTACGTCTGAGCATCACAAATTGTTGTGCTCCAACCATTTGTGACCGCTATGCTCCTAACCTCTATGCTGCTTCCATCTTGCCTGTCATCCTCTCATCCCTCCTCCCTCTATCACCCCCTCTCATCCCTGAATTCCACTCCCCACCCTCCCTTCCTTCCCCCGTCTTCACAGTGCCCTCTGCTCAACATCTCCTATTGCCCTCCAACCGAAACACCCCTGCAGCCAGATCAGACCCTGGTACGTACCCTGCGTGCTGTGCTGTTTCACATGCCATGCCACACACACACCATCCCATAAAGCGCCGTGAAGCATTCCCTCATGCAGTCAGTCAACTCAAAACCCACTGACCTGTGCATCCTTGCTTCCCTCTGTTTCACTGCCCATTTCCCAACTGCCCGTTTCCGCATCTCCTTTGCTTGCCTTCCTTGCTACTTTCTCACTCACCTCTCACATCCATCCCTACTCTCACCTCCATCTAACTTCTCACCCACCTCCCTCTCCATCTCTCTCTTTCAGTTCCATACGCACCGCTTGTCTCCATGCTTCCTCCCTCCCACCCATATCCTTATACCCGGGCACCTTTGAGAATTCCCAAGGCACCTTTGAGAACTCCCAAGGCACCTTTGAGAATTCCCAAGGCACCTTTGAGAACTCCCAAGGTACCATTGGGAATTCCCAAGGCACCTCATCCATATCATATCGGCCCACACGTCTCCACCTTTCTCATCCATCCATACCCATCGGGCCATCCCACAGGTGGTGGTGGCCTTCAACCCTCTTATGAGGTGCCTCAAAAGCACCTCATCTGTATCATATTGGCCCACACGTCTCCACCTTTCCCATCCATCCATACTCCATCCCACAGGTGGTGGTGGCCTTCAACCCTCTCGCGTGGTCCCGCTCTGAAGTGATTCGATTCCCGGTATGAGTGCACCGCGCACCCTTCAATGCTGTTACTTGCTTCATCCATCTTGCCTTGCATTGGCATTAAGCATCAGCAATTGCATCAGCAACTGCATGTGCACCTGCATGGGCACCGGCACCAGAGGTCGACAGCATTAATCAAGTGAACGATTTGTTGCCCTCCTCTCCCTTACAACGCAGAGGTTTCACACACTCTCCCTCCCCACACAACACCCCCCTCCCTCTGTTCTCACTCCTTGATAGGTATCTTTCCCCAGCTTACTCCTCACTGCTGCCTCTCATGCCCCCATCCCCTCTCAAATTTCTCAACAATCACTCTCCTCCCTTTTTACATTCACTCCACTCCAACCACATCATGTCTTACGCCCTTTCCATCCCTTCCCTCCTCTGCTCCTCCCTCTCTCTCTCCCCTTCCCACTACGCTCCTTGACAGGTGTCATCCCCCTACCTTCTAGTCACTGATGCCTCTGGCGCCCCCATCCCCTCTCAAAAACTTCAAGAGACCCTCCTCTCCCCTCCCTCTGTTCCCCCCGTCTCTCCGCCTCTCCCACTGCTCTCCCTGACAGGTGTCATCCCCCAATCTCCTTGTTACCGACGCTTCTGGCGCCGCCATCCCTTCTCAAATACTCCAAGAGACCCTCCTCTCCCCCTCCACCTGCTCCACTCCAACCACATCAGGGCTTACGCTTTCCCTTCCACCCCCTCCCTTCTCTTCCTCTCCCCTCTCCCCCTCTCCCAATGCTCTCCCTGACAGGTGTCATCCCCCAATCTGCTAGTCGCCGACGCCTCTGGCGCCCCCATCCCCTCTCAAATAATCAGGGAGACGCTCGTCACCCCCGCCACCCGCTCCACCTACATTGCTGCTTACACTGGCGTGGGGGAAATAGTAGGAGAGGTGGAGGGGGAGGAGGAAGGGGTGGAGGGGGGGGAAGGAGGGGAGGAGGGAGCGGAGGAGGGGGAGGAGGGGGATGAGGAGGAGGGCGGGGGAGGGGGAGGAGGAGGAGGAGTGGGTGGATTATGGGGATGGGCGAGGGCCGCAGCCGAGCCATAAGCCGAAAAGGAAGCATCGGGAGAGGCAGACGAAGGAGGAGACGGGGGGAGAGCAGAAGGAGGGAGAGCAGAAGGAGGGAGAGCAGAAGGAGGGAGAGCAGAAGGAGGGGGAGCAGCGGGAGGGAGAGCAGGAGGGAGAGCAGCAGCAGCAGCAGCAGCAGCAGCAGCAGCAGCAGCAGGCAGTGCTGTCGCTTGTGTTTTATGCAGAGGTGCCTCCTCTTGGATTCGCCACCTTCTTTGTCTCGCCAGCAACCCAAGGTACAGCACCTATCATCAGTCAGGTACGCTGTCTAGCCCATCTCGAAAAATCGTCACTCGGGTTTGCTACTCATGGCGGAAGAGCAGCAAATCTGAAGCTTGTCAAAGTACAGAAGCTGTGGTATACAGCTCGCTAAGGTATGTTCCAAGGAAAGAGCTCACTGGAAAGGACGGTTTGCCAAGGTATGTTCCATGCAGACAAGCACATGCACAGAGAGCAAGCAGAGCATGCTACGTGTGTGCTTCCTGTCACACCACAGCACCCCTGCAAACCACTCTGCTCCCTTGCTCACCTGCCTCTCACAATTCCACGCCTTCCCCACGTGCAGACACACCTGGCAGAGCGTACGAGAGTGCTGCATGGAGCAGTGTGGTTGACGCTACAGCAACAACGGCAGCGGCAGCAGCAGCAGCACAGCCTGTGGCAGCACCGCTGCCTGCGACAGCAGCAGCAGCATCATCAGCATCTGAAAAGGCATCAGCTGAGACGGAAGCTGCAGCGGCCCAGGCAGGGGCAGCCGAGAAGCAACCCGGCAAGGCGGGGAGGGGGAGGAACACGAGAGGGCGGAGGATGGCGGTGCGCGGTGGACAGGAGGGAGGGTTGAACGGTGGGGAGAGGAGAGGGAGAGAGGCGGGGAGCAGGGGGAGAGGAAGCAGGAGGGGGTTGCATGGCGGTGGTGGGGGAATGGAGGAGGGCAAGATGGGTGGGGGAGGAGGAGAGGGAGGGGGAGGGGGAGGGAGGGGGCTGGAAGGGGGTGATACTGTTGTGCTGGGAGGGTGGCAAGGCGTGGGGGCCACTCGTGGTAGCGGTGCTGCTGGTGCTGGCACGGACGGTGGGGAGCGGGCTGCGTTGCGTGTCTCGTTCTCCAAGTCAGCGGTGGGCATGCAGCGGATGGAGCTGGTCTCTCGGAGTGCCAATGGCACGGAGGAGGTTGTGGTGAGTGGTGTGGCACGGGGGAGATTGTGGTGTGGCAGTGGAGTAAGTAAGTGGTGGGTGGTGATGTGACTATGGCGGGCAATTAGCGATGGGTGTTGAGTGAGGGAAAAGGGTTGGCTGGCGGCATGAGCAGGATGACATGGGCAGGGATGACATGGGCAGGGATGACATGGGCAGGGATGACATGGGCAGGGATGACATGGGCAGGGATGACATGGGAAAGGATTACATGGGCAGGGATGATTTGTTACTGGCTGGGATGATTTGTTACTGGCTGGGATGATTTGTTACTGGCTGGGATGATTTGTTACTGGCTGGGATGATTTGTTACTGGCTGGGAAAGCGAGATTAGAAAGGATAGAATGGGTAACCTCCTGCAAGCTGTTGCAGTTGAAGAGCATATTGACTTGACACAGTGGATCGTGTCAATCCTTCTTTCTACTTTCTTTGCAACTAAAGCATAGCGTACTCACATAGTGAAGCGAAAACACTGAACTTTCCAGTCCAGCCGACAATGGCACTTGGTAGGCACTGCACTTGTACCATCCTCAAATGGATGTAATTTCTCGTTGTGCACTCCTGTTACATGCCCTGTCATGTCATCTGCTCTGCTCCCTGCATACCATGGCACGCACCCCCTCACCCCACCACATCATCCCATCCCACGCCCCCCCATGCCGCGCCATGGCACAGCGCATGGGCATGGCAGTGAGTGCCAGCATGATGGAGTATGCCACCTTAGCTTGAGGTGCATACATCGTACCACCTCATCCACTCCACCCCACCCCATGCCACGGCAGCGCATGGGCATGGCAGTGAGTGCCAGCATGATGGAGTATGCCACATTCGCCGGCGGCGCATACATCTTCCAACCCTCCAAGCCAGCCATGCCCATCACCTCCACCAACGCCACCTACCAGGTCAGTCAGTGGACGTGTGGGTCACAACAAGCGCCAAGGTGCACGCAGCATGGCTCTCACACTCCACTGATAGAACCAGTGCCTTGAGTCTCCACTGGTAGAACCAGTGCCTTGAGTCGTTCAAGTCACAGCAGGTGCATACATCTGAGTCGCTTTTGAGAATTCTCAAGAGCGACATCTTCCAGCCCACCAAGCCAGCCACGCCCGTCACCACAAGCCAGCCACACGTCACCACCACCACGAATAGCACTCACCAGGTCAGTGGGCGGGAGGGTGGGTCACGACTCAGAACCACCACCATGACGCAGCATGCCTCTCGCAGGGCAGTGGTGGCGCCAGTGGCAGTGTCTTGAGAATGAAAAGGTCAGAGGAGGTGGTGTGTGCACCGCAGCGCATGGGCATGTACGTGATGCACCATAGTGCGACATGCTTGTGATGCTTCTCCTGCTGCACCGGTGCTGACTGTGCCTTCAGTGTAGAATGGCTCTTGATGGCTGGGGTGGGTGGGTGCTCTCGTGGGTGCGTGCGTGCATGGGTGGGTGGGTGGGTGGGTGGGTGGGTGGGTGGAGTGAAGCCGCTTTACAGCACCAGGCCTTTGATTTCCATGAGATTTTTGTTCTGCTCTGCTGACGTGGCACAGGTGCCCATTCACATCCAGCGTGGACCAATCGTGGAGGAGTTCAGCCGCCAGATCACTCCATGGATCTCTGAGGTGAGTGCACTTCCTTCACCTCCTTCTCCTCCACCTCCTTGAGTAGTGCAGGGCACTTTTCAGAAACATAAACCCGCAACTTCCTGCAGTGGTGCATAAATGGATTCCCTTTTTGTTACCTCGCCCTACCCACTGCAACGTGCTTCCACTGCCTCATTGCATCCTCCCGCTGCTTGCGTCTCTGCCGCTCTGCACCGCTCCCAACTCCCAGGTCTTCAGAGTGTATCCAGGGGGGGACTACGCTGAGCTGCACTATTCCGTGAGTGCTCTCTGATTCTTGCACACCCTGGTTTCCAGAATCCGCATGAACCGACTCTTCATTTCAGTCGTCTCACAAGACATTGCCTGGGCCAACCGGCTGTGGTCTGACAAGACGTTGCTTGGGCCAGATGGATCCCTGCCCCCCTGGGGTGGCAACCAGACCAGAGGTGGTGGTGTTTCGCCTCACCACTGCTTGTGAAGCCATTTCCACGCGATGGAAAGGAATGCGCTGCTCGTTCACATCAGCCTGTGCTGTTCATTGCTGTGTGCGTGCGTGCGTGCGTGTGTGTGTGATGACCAGGTGGGTCCGCTGCCCGCCAAGCAACCCAACCACGAGGTGGTGACTCGCTTCGTGTCGCCCATCAACAGCAGCAAGGCCTTCTACTCCGACTCCAATGGCCGCAGCTACCTCAAGCGGGTGAGACGTTGTTTGTTGTTTGTTGTGTACACACACAGTCCGTGTTGGCGCCTGGAAGCTCTCTTCAATGCGCCCATCAACAGCAGCAAGGCCTTCTACTCCGACTCCAATGGCCGCAGCTACCTCAAGCGGGTGAGACGTTGTTTGTTGTTTGTTGTGTACACACACAGTCCGTGTTGGCGCCTGGAAGCTCTCTTCAATGCGCCCATCAACAGCAGCAAGGCCTTCTACTCCGACTCCAATGGCCGCAGCTACCTCAAGCGGGTGAGAGGGTGTTTGTTGCGCTCGCATGAGTGTACACTACACGGTCATTGCTTGCTGCTGCCTGGCAACTCGACACGCTTCACTGCTCCCATTGACAGCAGCACAACCCGCTATTCTGAATCCAACAGCCAGAGCTACATCATGCGGATGACTTTCGTGGATAATCAAAAGTGACTTTCAATAGCCTGAGCTGCAACAAGCGGGTGAGAGAGGTTGCAGATCTGGGTTCCTGACAGGCTACCGTTGACAGGAGGAGCTCTTTTCACGCAGTGGGGTGGGTGGTTGATCGCCACGTGTATGAAGTAATGTTTTGAGATGTCTCAAAGCTATATCAAGCGGGTGAGAGAGGCTGTAGATTTGGGATCCTGACAGGCTACTGATGACAAGAGGAGCTCTTTTCACACAGTGGGGTGGGTGGTTGATCGCTTCCCTCCTCGTGACAACAGCAGCAGCACTGGTCACCCTGATTCAAGTGGCGGAGTCACATCAAGCGGGGTAGAGGGTGTTGCCTTCACGGCTCCCATCCACAGCAGCAAGACAAATGCCATTGCCAAGTGGCAAATGCTCCTATGGACGTGCCCAATATACCGCCTATAAGGTGACTTTTGAGTCGACTCAAAAGTCACCAGGTGGCAAATGCTCCTATGGACGTGCCCAACATACCACCTACATCAGCCCAGCATCCCACACACCATTCCACCATCCCCACCATCCTCACCATCCCCACCATCCCCACCATCCCCACCATCCCCACCATCCCACCATCCCCACCATCCCCACCATCCCCACCATCCCCACCATCCCCACCATCCCACCTTCCCCACCATCCCCACCATCCCCACCATCCCACCATCCCACCATCCTCACCATCCCCACCATCCCCACCATCCCCACCATCCCCACCACCACCACCACCACCACCACCACCACCACCACCACCACCACCACCACCACCACCACCACCACCACCACCACCACCACCACCACCACCACCACCACCACCACCACCACCACCACCACCACCACCACCACCACCACCACCACCACCACCACCACCACCACCACCACCACCACCACCACCACCACCACCCCGCGTTCAGGTGGTAGACTACTGCTCTGACTTTTGAGTCGATTTCAAATTCATCCCATCATCCCCACCACCCCGCACGCATTCAGGTGGTGGACTACCGGTCTGACTGGGACCTCAATGTCACCGACTCCATTCATACCCTCTCCCTTCACCATGCTGTCTCCATTCACCACCCACCACCCCCACCACACCACCCCACCATCGCATGTTCAGGTGGTGGACTACCGGTCTGACTGGGACCTCAATGTCACCGACCCCATCGCAGGGAACTACTACCCGGTGAGTCAACGCAAGTCAACAGAGTCAGGACAGTCAATCACAGTCAACTAGAGGCAGCAGAGTCAACCAGAGTCAACTCAAGGCAAGAATCAGTGCACCTGGGAGTGGTCCTGTCTATGAATGACACAATCGCATTGGCAAGTCAATAGGAACAAGAGTCTTCTCTTTTTGTTTCCCCTCCGAGCCGTCGTGCACCCATCCTTCTGTTGATTTGCCTTCTTCCATCATCCCTTGCTCTCCACTCCACTCCAGCTTACGGTCGGGGCTTTCATAAAGGACAAAGAAGCCCAGTTGTCCGTGCTTGTGGACCGGGCGGCAGGCGCTGCCAGCCTGGCATCCGGCCAGATAGAGGTCATGCTACACAGGTGAGGTCACTGTAGCATCTCTGTAGCACAGGAGAGGGTACTGTAGCACGAGTGAGGGTACTGTAGCACGAGTGAGGGTACTGTAGCACGATGTGAGGGCACTGTAGCACGACGTGAGGGTACTGTAGCCACGAGTGAGGGTGCTGTAGCACGAGTGAGGGTACTGTAGCACGAGTGAGGGGTACTGTAGCACGAGTGAGGGTACTGTAGCACGAGTGAGGGTACTGTAGCACGAGTGAGGGTACTGTAGCACGAGTGAGGGTACTGTAGCACGAGTGAGGGTACTGTAGCACGATGTGAGGGTACTGTAGCACGAGTGAGGGTGCTGTAGCACGAGTGAGGGTACTGTAGCACGAGTGAGGGTGCTGTAGCACGAGTGAGGGTACTGTAGCACGAGTGAGGGTGCTGTAGCACGAGTGAGGGTACTGTAGCACGAGTGAGGGTGCTGTAGCACGAGTGAGGGTACTGTAGCACGAGTGAGGGTACTGTAGCACGAGTGAGGGTACTGTAGCACGAGTGAGGGTGCTGTAGCACGAGTAAGGGTACTGTAGCATAGGTAAGCCTGTTAGAAAGAAAAGAATGATGGAAGAGTGATTATTCTATCTAGAGAATCACAGAATTACACAGGTGAGAAAAACGGGGAGGAGGGGGGGGAGGAGGGGAGGGGCGGGGAAAGGATACTTTGGCCAACATTATTGGCCCCCACCAATAGGTTGATTGGGAAATTATGGCGGGGGCCGATATTTTTTGTAAGGGTGTGCCAAGATTATTGCGTCTCCAGTAATCTCCCAATCCAACCTTTGGGGGCCAAACGATTGGGCCAAGGTCAGACACTCAACCCCACCTAGGGTAAACCCTGTATTGTGCTCCCACCTGTAGTTTGAGCAGAATGATGGTACTGTGGCACAGTGATGGTACTGTAGCACAGTGATGGTACTGTAGCACAGGGGGTGCATGCATGTATTCATGGAAAGTTGCGTGTTGGTTACAGCTGCTACACCAATCCTGGTTTGATGTGCTGCAAAAACAAAATGCATATATATATATATATATATATATATATATATATATCACACACTCTTCCATCACTGTCTTACCAACCTTGACATCCATCTTTCTCATCTCTCCTGCCTCTCCCCACATCTTCCCCCGCCCAGCCTGCTACCGACTGGGCTAAAAGGGCATGTTTGTAGGGTGGGTAGCACACCCATAACCCCCCAGGCCGCACCTGTAGCCCTCCCACACTCAACCGGGAACGATCCCAGTGCCCCACCAACACCCCCATCCCCTCCCCCGCTCACATGCCACAGGAAGCTGAGTTCGCTGGATGGCAAGGGCGTGGGGGAACTGCTGCAGGAGAGCAAAGCACGTCTGTCACACCCTTGTGACTCGTCACACCCTTGTGACCCATCTTCCCCCATCTCTCCCATCCCCTCCCCCACTCACATGCCACCAGGAAGCTGAGTTCGCTGGATGGCAAGGGCGTGGGGGAACCGCTGCAGGAGAGAATCGCACTGGGCAACAGGACCCGCTCCCTCACCGTGAGTGCTCCACGTAACAACCTCATTTCACGTTTTCACGTACAGCCGTCCTCTTGCGGCCACAGCTGGACGGTGGGGAACCGCGCAGAAAAGAATCGCACTGGGAAACAGGACCCGCTCCCTCACCGTGAGTGCCTCGTGTGTTTCGGTGACTTCTGAGTCGACTCAAATTCACAAGTCACCTCCTGTGAGTCGACTCAAGGGGGTGGGGGAACCACTACGAAAGAGCTTCACACCGGGCAACAGGACCCGCTCCCTCACCGTGAGTGCTTTCTTTCAGTTATTTCTCTGTAATCTTTCAAGGGCCCATTACTCATGTACGTCTGTGGCCCCACCCCTGCCATATTTCCTTCCTTCCATTCAAGTCACAACCCTTCCTCCAAACCTCCACCCCTCCCTCCCCTCCATCTCCCAATGCTTCTGCCTGATACCCACTCCTCAACATCCCCCCCTCCTCCTTGCCCACTTCACCCTCTTTCTCCGCCCAATACCATGTACGACCAACCGTCTCTCCCCTGCCCTGCAGTTACCAGAATCTTGGCGCTTAGAATCAATCAAACTGCACACTGGGCACCACCGAGAACGTTTAAAGCAAGCACTCTCCACCTCTTGAACCCTCCAGCAACCATCGCTCCCTCCTCTGCCGTGCACGTTGTGGGCTCGCTGCACACAGCCGCGCATAGCCCCACTTCAGCTGGCCGTCACTGTTAGCTCTTCAGAACGCCCCCATCCTCCAACAACCATCTCGAATGGTCCTTGCATTGATTAAGGGGTGGTACAATGGAAGATGCAAACACATGCAACAACCATCTCTCTCTCTCTCCTCCGTCCTGCAGGCTGTGGGCTTCCCTGCGCTTTGGGCTGCCCACACAGCCCATTTCAGCTTGTCCTAACCGGTGCAGACTATCCCCTTTTCAATCTCTCGTACCCTCGAACAACTGACTCTCCTCCACCCTCCCAGCAACAACCATCTGTCTCCTGCCCGGCAGGTTGTGGGCTCTCTGTGCTTTGGGCTGCATCTTGAAACAGGCTCTGACGAAAGAGCAGGGGAGCAACGAAGGGGAGCAAGGGGGCCGCTCATCGCCCCACTTCAGCTTGCCTTACCTCGTTTGGGCTAAGCCCTACCAATTCCCCCCACCCTCCCAACAACTGTCTCTCCCATGCCCGGCAGGTTGTGGGCTCGCTGCGCTTTGGGCTGCATCTTAACACAGGCTCTGAAGAAAGAGCAGGGGAGCATGAAGGGGAGCAAGGGGAAGAGCGTGTGGGGCTTGGGGCAGGGAAGCGAGTGGAGGAGGCAGCACGCACAGCACCTCCTAACCCCTCTGCAGCTCTCGTTTGCGGTTGAAGTGAGCCCTTTCCATGCTCCTCCCTCTCTTTCTCTTCGCAAGTTTTCAATTGCATGTCACAGCACATGCACGCAGCACATGCACCCGGCACATGCACGCAGCGGCTCATCATAGCCCCCTCTCCGGCTCGCCTTTGCCGTTGAAGTGAGCCCTCGCCATCTCTCACTCAGTGACCTCCTTCCCGCCAACCCTCTGCCTCTCCTTGATGATTCTTGCCCTTCCCATGTGCTCCCTCTCGCGCTCCTCTGCTTCCCTTGCAAACCATCTTGCTCCACCGTCAACCTTCCATCCACTCGAACCTCTCTCCATCCAATGCCTCTCTCTTCTGACTCCTGCAGACTCAGCAGTCCATCAGGGCAGCACAAGGCAGCTACACGTGGCACTACTCCCTCTCCCAGCCATCATCCACATCAGCATCCTCCACGTCATCCCCAGCAAGCCTAACAGTGCTTCATCCTACTCGGTTCCTCCCAATGTTGCTGTCATCACGATGCAGGTAACAATCATCGTGCATGCAGGCAAGCACTGTGTTGTGTTGTAAGAGGCGCCTTGACATCACTGTGTATCATCCGTACTTAACACTGTTGAGACGCGTCAACATTCGTGCTGCACACATTAATCTTCCACTATTTATTATCGCTTCACCTACCTTTCGCTAACGATAATCTAGGCACTTCAGCAAATAATCGTCCCACTCCACTCCATCACTCCTCTGCCCTCCCTTCTTCAACCTCCCACACCACTTATAGTTGATCCTTCATCCATCAGCACCCCCATGTTCTCACCACCAGCATACGTGGAGGAGCTTTGAGAACGCTGTGTTGTATGCTCCATCAGAATGCTGTGCTGTGCCATGCCGTGCTGTGCTGTGCTGCAATGCTACTAGTTGTTCCGTTTATCTCAAACGCGCTTGTGCCACTGTCACATGTGCAGGAGCTCTCACCAAGCACGGTTGTCTTGAGACTAGCTCACCTGTATCAAGTGAGTCCCACACTCACTCCCTCTCACTCATTCTCTCCTCACTCACATCCTCTTCCCTCACACACTCCTCGTCCGCACTCGCGCTCCTCCCTCTCTCACACCCTGCCTCACTAGTGCCCTTTACTCACTCAAATCCCCCCCCAGTCGGCCTTCCATTCATCCTGCCCTGCCGTACTGCACCGCTTCCAATCCTCTCAAAATCTCACCGTCCTCTCCTCTGCATTGCACTGCACCACTTGCACTCCACTCCCACTTACACTCTACACACGCCCTCATACCTCCCTCACCATTGTACTGCCCCTTGTATTCCTCCTTTCCGCCAGATTTCATTCTCAATAATACCTCCCTCGAACTCGGCAAGGCCTCCTGGTTTCAGGAGACCCAAAGCCCACCTCCTTCACTGCCTTATGTGTGTCTGCTTCCCTGTCTCATCTGCTTCCCTGTCTCATCTGCTTCCCTGTCTCATCGGCCTCCCCCTCCCTGCCCCATCTGCAACTGCAAGCCACGGGGAGCATGCTGCCTGGTCGCGTCCAGCTCAAGTGGAGCTCCGAGATTGTTTGCAGCAAAACAGGTAGATAGTCTGGTTGCCCTACCTTTTCAACAGGTAGATAGTCTGGTCGCCCTACCTTTTCAACAGCTCTAACACGCTCTTGGTTAAAAACCCTTAATAGTTCGCCTCTTTGTGACATGTAACTGGTCACCTACCTGCGTTCTGACTTGCCTCTCAAACCCTCTCTCGCACACACCTCTTCACACACCGCTTAGTGATTCAACCATAGCTGCGTGCATACATAATATTTTGTGAGTGAGCTGACCAGGAATCATACAGCAGTCAATCTCAGAAACCCTAGAATGCTAGCTTCAAATTTCAACCCTACTATCCAGCCTCAGAGCGTGTAATTGCTTTCCATCCCTTACCAAGATCACACCCATCTCATCCCCCCCATGTTACTTCCCTTACTGTCACATTCCCACCCACCCCTAGCAGATACATGAGGTGACAGAACTGAGTCTGATGGCCAATCAGAAACAAGCAGACATGCGACAGCCTCTTTCCTGGCGAGTGGAGGGCGAGGAGGGAGTTGAGGGAGCAGGTGATGAAAATAGGTCGGCTCGAGAATCGTTCGTTGATCCTGCTTCTCTGGTTGTGGAGTTGGGGGCCTGCAGAAATTCGCACATTTTCAATCCGGCTGCAAGGTAGTACATGAGTATTTAGTCGAAAAAATCTTGTGTACCATATCAATTGAAATATCATGTTGCATTGCGCTCTACTTTGCCTTTGTGCTTTCAAAGGGCCCTCTACCATGTCTATTATTGTGGCTATTTCGTACCGCATAATCAAGCATCACGTTGTTTCGTTGCTTCGAAATTATGGGAGACGCCGCATCCATCTGCCGTCAAACTGGAGCATGTGTCACTCCTGCGAACTCGCTCTCGTTCAGATCCGCTAGAGCACCTGAGTAAGCCTTACTTGTTCGCTGAGCGAGCCAGCCTAAGCAAATGAGTGCATCACGGGCATAATATTATCCTCTCAATCCTCACAGTGGTCCCGCTTCCGCAATATTCCCTTCCCGCACGCTCCTCGGTTTCTTCCCTATCCGCTGAGGAGCGGGATGAGTTGTATCAACAGCTAAGGATCATTCAGAAGCATAGAGGTTGCAAGGAGAACTGTTAAATGCTCGAGATATCTTATTGAAGGCAAGTGAACTGAACACCCTCACCGTGCTGTTCCCTGGGTCATTTCCAGTGCCCTAGACATCAGACTTTGGAGTCTGAATCAGAGTCCGTTCAGACTTTTTTTTTTGTACCTACCGTAGTCTGAACTCAAAGAAATTATTTATGTACCTTGTCTGATTTTCCAGAGTTTTTTTTCTTATGAGTTGTCTGAAATTTCAGCCTAATTTTACCATCATCGCCCGGATATAAGACATGTATGTCTTATCTCATACATTAAAAAAATCTGTCTATAAATGGACAAAAATCCGTTTAGAAGATACTTCCTCGTTATACATTTGCCATTTGCCCCTACACACAAATAGGTGTCTTATAATGAGGCTACCCCGTTTATAAGAGACACCCGTATAATAGACAACCCCTGATCTACTATTCAACTACTGTCTTATATCCCGGGGATGACGGTACTAGGGTAGGCTAAGCTTCAGACTTGTATCAGGGGGTACCACTCTGCGCGCTTATTGGAGCAAAGTTCCTGGAAGTTTCCTTCTGATATGCCCACTTCCGAGATGGCAGTGGAGTGCCAGGACATGAGCAATGCTCACTTCGACAGCTGGGACATCCAAATACACTCGTTTGTCGAGAATATCTTCCAGTTTCGCTGAGGAAATGGTTGCGTGATTACGAGATTTCTGAAGACAAAATCTCGTCACATGTAAGTTATCGCTAATGTATTGTAAAGAATAGGCGACTTTGATGCTGATTCGCTGTAAAAACATCTGCAGCACGCACTGGTGTGAATTGCGAAGTTCCTGATTCGTACTGAAAGTTTCGTGTGGCATTGTCTGATCCTCACATGCCACGCCAAGCAACAGTTTCTGCCTGCTGCCAGCTCAGCTGCGTGGCACTTGGCCTATTTGATACAGATCGGGTGAACGATCGAATCGCTTGAAAAGCAAATCTAAAACGGACAAAATCGGCACACATGCAAGAAAATGGGTACAGAACGGTAATCACACACACGACAAAACGAAATGAGATCAGCAGAGCAGAAACAACCATGCGCTGCACGTGACAAAAACACTGGAACGCCGCCGATATGAGCAGAGGCGATGCACGAGCACGAGCACGTTGCCTGATGCGTTGGTATGGTAGGCTGTAATCAGCCTCAATGCTATTATAACTTCTTTTACGAAACTGCATGAACATCTTAAAATTTGAAGTAACTTTGACGGTTCAGACAAAAAAAATTGTGTTTATCTGAATTTTCAGACTAAAATTTTGAGGCACCTCTGACAGACAGAGTTCCAGGAGGGGTGTACTCTGAGGCCTCAGACTACCTCAAAACGAATCTAGGGGCCTGGTCCTTTCCCCTTAATTTATCCTTCTCCTCCCGAGAGTTTCCTGCCATTGCAGAATGGCTTCTTACTGCTCCTTCCACATTATCCTTTATGTGGAAGTAAGCGGTAGGATTATGAGCCTTAGCTAGGAGAGTCCTAGCTAGGCAAGAGACAGTTTAGGCAAAGAAGAGGATTTTCACTAGCAGGAATGAGGATACAAATAGCAAACCATAGAAGGGTTGTACTCGCTATAGAGCACCCACTAAAGGCTATAGCATAACATTCTGACACTTTACCCCTCAAGTTATGCATGAATCTGTGAGAGGACTCAACAGCGTGTCAGCGGAGGGAATACCACAGCTCCTAGCCATCACATTTAGTCTATGGTGGAGCTAAAAGACGAGGATTTGGTGGAAACGGATTGAAGCCCAAGCTAGGGGAGCTTGTGAGGCTGCTGCATGAAACAAATAGTTTTGTCGCAAATTCTTGCATGCAGGACCAAATATAACTTGAGGACATGGACACAAGGAAAGATTTTGGCGATTGATCGTGCAATATCGAACACCGGCATCGGCGGGAGGGAGTGTCAATGTCTAATATAGAAAACTGTACATGGTCGGTCTGCGCATGACGTGTTTCCTGCCTACACAGCGCTTACAGCCCGTCTCAATGACCTGGGCCTGAGGGTGCAACCATCAAAATGCTCCCTCTGGGCCCCTTTGGACCTCCCTTCGGACCTCACACCTCCATCAGACATCATCATTGCCCCTAACGGTCTCACGGTTGCAGGAGTGCCTATCGGATCGGACACCCACATTATCTCCACAGTTCGAGACAAACTGCACTCTTTCTCTTCATCACTGCCTCTCCTACATGACCTTCATGATCCACAGACTGCCTCCCGCCTCCTTACTCTCTGCATTTCCGCCCGTCCCTCATTCCTCCTCCGCACAGTTGCACCATTTCCCGAGGTAGAAGAGCTTTACACTGACTGGGACAACACCTTGCTGGACCACTTTGTTCGCCTCATCGGCTCTGACTACTGGCCTCCTGCGTTTGACCACACTGCCACAGCACACCGACAGCCATTCCTTCCCATTCGCCTCGGTGGGTTCGGCCTCCGTTCTTCAGCTGCAACTGCTTCTCTCAGTTACCTATGCAGCTGGGCACAGACAGTTTCACTCCTCTCGTCATGCTTCACCATTCATGGCTCCCCTATTTCCGTCCCTTCATCGCTTCAGACACCATGGACCGCCTTGACCCATGCATTCCCACAGCCATGTCCAAACTTCATCCTTCCATTCGGCAGCACTTCCCTACCTGGCCCGCACTTCACGCTGGCTATCCACAGAAGCTATATTCCTACCTTTCACAGCACTTGGAGGCTGTCATGCTCGAGCGCGTGCGATCCACAGTAACCTCTCCCCAACATTTGGCCCGTTTAACCTCCCTACAAGGGCCCCATGCTGGCGATTGGCTTACTGTGGCTCCATGTTCTTCGCACATGCAGCTGTCACCTACTGAGTGGTGTATTGCAGCCGCTATTCGTCTTGGCCTCCCCATTCCACACCTCACGACCACCCGCACATGCACTTGTGGCTCGGCATTCACAGACCCTTCAGTCGTCTCTCACGTCCTCCGCTGCCCATCCTCTAACGAGCCTACTAGGGTCCACGACGCCATCAAGCATGAGGTTCATCGCATCACGTCCGAGCTTGGTTACGTCGTACAGCTGGAGGACTCCCACCTTCTTTCAGGACGTCGCCCAGACATCAGCTGCCGTGACATCAGCTCTGGGACTACGTGGGCATTAGATGTTTCAGTTGCAGACCCGCAGCATGGTCCCCCAACTCCAAGACTGCATCAGTAATCGGCTCAGTTGCATCTGCTCGCGAAACTGAGAAGCGGACCCTGTATGCATCTTCGTTACAAAACCGCCCAGACGTGAAGCTTCTTCCTCTCGTTCTTGAAACCTTCGGTTGCTTCAGCACGGCATTTCTCAGCTTCATCAAAGACTGCAGCAGACGAGGGGCGACTCGACTTCGTGACATGGGTGGTGCATCTGACCTGATTCCAGAGCTCTTCGAGACTAGCTACTTCAAGAGGATTTCCTTGGTGCACCAGCGTGAGCAGGCTCGACCATCTGCCGTCGGACACAAATTCGTTACAGTGTTGACACACCCTCCGCCCCACCAGATCCCACCCCACCCTCCTTGGCTGACTTTGCGTACCTTGGTGTTGGTTCTTGAGACCCCATTGGGGGTCTCAACCTAGGATTGCAGTTGGGCCATTGCTAGTTAGGTAGCCTCCTGATGCTCAAATTTGTCTGTATCTTTTGTACACATATACATTGTAAATAAAGTGGTTAGTATCTCCGCCTGTCACGCGGAAGATCCGGGTTCGATCCCCGGCATCGGCGCTTTTGCTTTTAGCTACCCCTGCTTGATATCTAAGTTCCCTTTCTCATTTCACACACTGTTTTTATTTTACTTGTTTTTTGTTTGCATCTTTCATTCTACACCGTAGCACTCTACCGCAGCTGTTAGTATCGGAAGAAGACATTGCATGCAGGCTGGTTGGCCTTTTTCTCGATCCAAAAGCTCACGCCAGCGCGCCAAGCAGCCAGGTTTGAACTTCGATCACCAAAAAAGCTCGAGCAGGCGCACTCACAATGGATCCTTGCATGCGTCGCCTCCAGCAGCCTTGGGCCCGCCTCTGGCTCCTAGATTCTGGTCACACTGCGTTTGTTGAAACAGCAAGCCACGTGTCGTTTGTCTCAGCGCATAGTTTTCTGCTCCCTTCTGCGGTTTCATCTCCTCCGTTTGTTCCATCAACGCCGTCCCTCAGTCGCTCGTCGTCCCTCCGGTTACGATCGATGTACCGTACGTCGCGAGTCCTTTGTGGGACTCGTGTAATGGTTTTTTCAGCTCGCCGGTTCCGTTGACCATGCAACCACCTTATCGCCTTCCCTGAACTTCTTTCGCCGTACCTTGTAACCAGATTTAACTACGAGGTTCCTTGGTAATGGACTGATCAATCACCCCATCGACCCACTTCCTGATGAAGTATCCTCTTCGGTTCTCGAGGCTCATTGTATATCAGCATCGCGTTAAAACCGGAGTCTCAAGTATCCCGAGGTTGCCTCATCCTTCCTACCTTTGGTTGGGTCACAAAGTCCAACCAAGCTTCCTACCTTTGGTTTTGTCACTAAGTCCAACCATCCTTCCTACCTTTGAAACCTGTGGACCCTGGGTTTTAAATACTCTGATAGTTCAGGGTTGATAGTTTTTACATTCTGCACGGCCACTACTCAAGCAGATCACGCACGGCAAATCAACTGAAGGAGGTACTGAGTGATGTTTTATCTAGAGGCACTGAAGGGGATGCTGTATGTACGATTGGTTGTACATTCTTTCCGCGATTGGCTGGAACATGTAATCCTATGTCAAGCGACAATTAGAAGCTGCCAGTGAAACACGACAACTATGCAATCAGATTCAGCATCAGACTTGCCTATGTGCTCATTTTCTCCCCCGCTCCTCGTTGTGCGTGCAGCTTGAAGCAGCCATGGCATGGAGCAATTACGAGTTGAATGCTTTCGAGGGGAAAGTGAAGCACTGTCTGCGGATCAGGAATCAGCCAGATAATGGTCAGTGGACGGACGAAGAGAAAGTTAAGTGAGTGGGGTGAAAGCGGTTGCTCATCAACCTGGAGCCCGAGTGTTGTTCGATCTAAGTACTTTCTTTTCTACCTCATTGTTCAGGCAAAGTGTCTCAGAAGCAGTGCTGCAAAACATCAAATTTACAGTGCTGCGAGCATACAAGCTATTTTGCCTCTTCAGTGATGTTTTTTAACCATTGTTGCTTTGAGTGAGCACTTCATTACCAAATTATTCACCCTTTTTATTTCTATCCGTCCATGCTTCTCTTCTCAACAGAGTTAACTCACCTGCTGGAAGAAGCGCTGCACAAGCTGCGGGGTCAGCAGATTCAAGTTCTGAATTTGCGCAAAAACTTGAATGCCATGCATGCAGAAAATTCTGATTTGGTCACACGGATGAGGTGGTTTGAGCTCATGGAAGCTAGACTGAGAGAGCATGCACACCTGGTGAGTAGGGTAAGCGAGTATGAGGTTAGGCTGGAAGAGTACGTGAGTGGAATCTGAACGTATGAGAAGCTACAGAGCAGGGTTAGAGAGAATGTATGACGGTAGGGTGAAAGAGTACGAGAGAGAAACAGAGAAATTGGGGAGTAAGTTCAAGATGTTGAGCAACTGGAAAGTAGGGTCAGGGAGAACGAGAGTGTAAATAGTAGATTTAGAGAATACGAGAAACTGGAGAGTAGGGCTAGTGAGCATGATAAACCAGAGAGAAGTGTTAGAGAGTATGGAAACCTGGAGAATAGGGTTAGAGAGTATATGAAACTGGAGAGTAGGGTTTGAGAAGGTATGAGATACTGGATGCAAAGGCGAAGGGAGGACATTGAGAATCTGGCAGCGAGAACAAGGGAAGTAAGACACCTGGAAGCAAGGGTAACATTTTGTGTTTGAGCAGGGAGTACGGGGGTCACACTTTGTGGTGGCCAGACTTCAGCAGGAGAATGTGTGTCTGGAGAAGAAGGTTGAAGAAGCTGGGCCGCTGGAGAAGATGGTGCAAGATTTGAGGAAAGAGCTAGATGAGGTAGGGTGGGAAAATTTGTGTATGATTTTGTAGGCATGCATGTTTGGGAGCTGGGAGCATGCACAGTTTGTTGCATGTTCATATGGTAGTTGTTATTCTGTACAAAGAGCCAACTCGTGATCTCATCTATTGTCCTGGAGCTTGAGACTCTGGTCTTTTCTTTTCTTTTAAACAATCTTTGCAGGTGACGCAGCAGCGCAACGGGCTGCGGCAGCAGCTGAGGAATACACAGGAGCACAGAGGGAGGCTGAGTCAACAAATCATAGAAGCTCAAGATATTTCCCTTCAGGCAAGTGATAATAGCACCTCTCCAACTTTCCTGCCCCCATCTCCACCAAAACAGTTGGCGATTCCGTTCCATGCTGTGTTGCCATTCTTTGCAGTTATGCTCAAGTGGTCTTTTTTTTTTTTTTTCAGTTGCATTAAGGAGTGGCATGGCTGCTGAAGGAGGCGGGGTTGGGGGTGGGGAGGGGGGAGGGGGGAGAGGGGTTAGCAACGTGTGTTATATTGAGGAAACCTATTTATGACTTGTTTGCTTCATGTGCCCCTCAGGTTCTGCGTGACTGCGTGAGAAAAATCGACAGAGTTCCGGCACAAGGAGTGCAGCAGCTGGTGCGAGCAATAAACGTTCATATTCAGCCTGTGTTGGAGAAAGAAAGGGAGGATATCATAGAAGTCACTCCAGAGCCCAAGATATGTGAGATTGTGCGGCTTCTGATCAAGATCATTAGGACACTGCTCTGCTTGCTGCTCTGCCCAAGTTGGCCAGACTGCCTGTGCCATTGCCAGACTAGATAGACTTTCCCATGGTATTGGAGGGAGTCCTTGCTTGAGAATCTGTAACAGCATATTGGTAGTGTACATTATGATCAATAATAATTCTTGTGTTATTTGACTGCAATGATCATAAGCTGCATGCAACGGCCAGACCCATCACATCCATCTAGGATACGCTCTTTATGTTGGAGTAACAAATGCATGGTGAAATAGTCTTGTGGAGTGGAAGCCCACGACCTGAATTACAACACTGAGGCTCCAGACCAGAACCTCAGGTTACTGAATGTTTGTCTGCAAAACCGAAGCAGAAGTTCGAGTGCAGGTGATTGCAGCACCCACACAAGAGGGAGCTTCGGGCTGTGGGTATGTATACCTTTGAAATTGCAATTCAGGGTGTGTGAGCACTGGCAACTGCACAGGGGAACAGCGAGCGAGTGGGAAAAGGGGTTGAGCGAAGGGGAAAGAGAGTGAGCAGGGGGGAATGAGGGGCGGGAACAGGGGTAAGAGAGTGAGGGCCTGCGGGAGAGAGGTGAACAAGGGGGTTACGAGAGTGAGGCGGAGGGAGGAGCGGACAGGCACAGGGAGGAGAGGACAGGACACAGGGAGGTGAGAACAGGACACGGGGAGGAGAGAACAGGACGCAGGGAGGAGAGAACAGGACGCAGGGAGGGGAGAACAGGACACAGGGAGGAGATAACAGGACACAGGGAGGAGAGAACATACCACAGGGAGGAGATAACAGGACACAGGGAGGAGAGAACAGGACACAGGGAGGAGAGAAACAGGACACAGGGAGGAAAGAACAGGATGCAGGGAGGAGAGAACACGACGCAGGGAGGGGAGAACAGACCACAGGGAGGAGATAACAGGACACAGGGAGGAGAGAACAGGACACAGGGAGGAGAGAACAGGACGCAGGGAGGAAAGAACAGGACGCAGGGAGGGGAGAACAGGGCACAGGGAGGAGAGAACAGGACACAGGGAGGAGAGAACATACCACAGGGAGGAGAGAACAGGACACAGGGAGGAGAGAACAGGACAAAGGGAGGGGAGAACATACCACAGGGATGAGAGAACAGGACACAGGGAGGAGAGAACAGGACAAAGGGAGGGGAGAACAGGACACAGGGAGGAGAGAACAGGACGCAGGGAGGGGAGAACAGGACACATGGTGGAGAGGACAGGACACAGGGAGGCGCGAACTGGGTACAGGTTACCTGGCACTGAGGAGATAGGATTTAAAGGGGAAAAAAAACATTGAACGGTGGAAGGGAGGAATTACAGGAATGAAAGAGCGATGTGCAAATTGGTATGAGGGGGTGGGCGAAAAGTAATAGGGCGATTTGTCGGGGAGAGTGAGCAGGGGGGCGTTTTTTTTTTTTTGCAGAATTGGGAGGATGAGATGGAGGGGGGAATGCGAGTGAGATGGAATGGAGGTGAGGGAGGTAAGGAGAACAGACGACGGCGAAAGAGGAAGGA